ATGTGGGGGTGCCCCCCCCCCCGGGGGCTCCGCCCCACAAACGGGTCGCTGCCCCTTTAAGACCCGCCCCCCCCAGGCGGGCGGCAGCGCCCTCTAGCGGCGGGGGGGGGGGGCCCCCCCCCCCCCTCCCGCCCGGGGCGGGGGGTGTTGCGTGCGCGGGGTCCCTGCCGTTACTATCACAAGCTCGGCGGGGCTGTGGCCGGGCTACCGACCCGAAATCTTCCGTGTTTGGAGACGTCTCTCCCCAACTCCTCGATACCCGTGATGCTGATCCCTCTGGCCCCCTCCCCGCTCCGTTCTGGATGCCCCTACATTGTCTCCCTACGTTTCTGAAGAGGGCCGCTTTGTTTAAAGGCTTAGGCTCATCCAAGTGTCCTTTCACATGTAAGACAGGTTTCATAAACAGCAAATGTCCTCTCATGAAATAACTTGTAAAAAGCAAGGCAGCCTAACTTAGATAAAATTCTGTGCCTGTAGTCAGCAGCGATAACTTGCGAAGAGGACCCGATCCTGGCCACCGCGCTGGTACCGGAGGATCTGCCGTTGCAGTCAGACGAGCTATTTCTATGAATAAAACCACTTCTTCAGAGTAGTGTTTTGAGGATGTGGCTCTAGAGTTAATTGAAGATTGCTGGAGTGCAATAAACTTAACAGTGGGGAAGCGTGGTGGGGGGAGACGTTGGTAGCTCAATACATGTTTATTTACGAGGCTTTCCAAGTGTGTATGTGATGCAGATCCAACCCTGTGTTGAGAACGACAGGGACAACCTTTGAACTTCAGTCAGGTTTCAGCAGCGCTTCCCAGGTGCAAAGATCATCTTGCAGTTTGGGGGCATTAATAGTGGAAGAGTTCATATTAGTTCGTTCCCTTGTAATTAAGAGGCGTAACAACAGTATGATTGCTGTAAAAACATCATTTGTTAATTTGGTGCTATGTCATCATAACTCGCTAGTTATGAAAGAGTAATGCTTTGTTATTGCTACAGAACTTGTCTTCCAGCAAGGGACTAGCTACAGTTTTGTGTTTCTAGAAACAATAATGTATCTGGATGGAATTTTTTAATAGTAGTATTTGCTTTGAGAGATTGTGTATATTTATGTCTTCCTTCTGTATGGCCTTACGTAATTCCTTAAGTTTGGTTAAAAATTAGTGACTACCTGAAGGCTCTTCAGTGTTCTGGAGAAATGATTGCATGCAAGGTTGGGGGGGAAATATACTTGAACATTTACACTTCCCATTTTCTTTGTTCATGCAAGTTAGTTGTGGACCTGCAATTGAGCAGGAAGAGCTATGGTTATGAGTGGATGTGCAGCTGAACACTTAAGCCACACACACACACACACACACACACCCCCCCGTGATAATTGTCAATGCCGTACGTAATGTATAGGTAGGAAGTGGGGATAAGTTGTGGGATAAGTGGGGATAAGGCACTGGGCCCATACTGGGTTCGTGCTTGAAGAGCTGTGGCTCAAGCTGGCATTATACTAAGAGTACTGGGCCCATACTGGGATGGTGCTGGGCTGTACTGGGATGCTCTGGGGCTGGGGGTGGTCCCCGTCGCACCCCCACACCAGCAGCACTGGCTCCAGCCCCTCCATCAGCATCTCCAGGAACTCCAGGTCTGACCCACACCAAGGGCCTGACCCATGACTGCCTCCTAACTGCCCCCCAACTCCCCCTCAAGTGCCCCTGACTCCCAGCCACCCCATAACTGCTCTCCAATCAAGTGCTCCATAACTGCCCCCAGTTCCCCCCAACTGACCCACAGGTGCCCTCCATTTTTCCCTTTCCCCTGTTTTTCCCCATTCTCCGTTTCGTCGCTGTGCATGGACTGAAAATATAGCAATAGATACACTGTCGTGTTTCCTGCATTCTACAATTTCAGACTTTGAAATGTGAAGTATATATGAAATGCAGGGCTTGGCTCTTTGATTTATAAGGTTTTTCTTACCCTGTTTGACCTGCTAGTCAGCTGATTGTAGTACTTTTGTGCATAAATGAACTGCAGAACTGGACCCATCATGCAAGATCTCCAAGTACGCTGGCAGATGAAACCTTTTTTCAGTGCATGATAGCAACACCGCGTGATGCTTTATGCTGTATCCAGTGCTACTACCTATGTTTGAGTTTCTCTTCTGTGAAACTGAACAGGAGTAATTTTTAATGTAGAAGGAGTTACATGTGGCATATTAGTTATGCCACTGGATCAAGCCTTCTGTGTCTTTAATAATGGATGTGTAGAATGTGTCTAAATTCTCTATTTTTATCTTTTTTTTTTTTTCCCCCCTGTGAACTTTCAGCGAAATCTTAAAAGTTTCTGTTGTGGTTACTGTTCTGCAGTGAAATTCATAGCTTATCCATAGTCCAAAGCATGCATTTCATGCTTGTACATTTGTAAATCTAAAGGATGCACTTAAATGTTTGAAAAGATTGGTCTTAACTTTTGAAAGTGAGTTTTGTGATCAAAATTCTGAACTGCTACATTAGTGACAACACAAGAATGAACAGTGCTGTCAGAATTAAAGGATTCGTTAGGGAAAATCTTCAAGTCAAAAGGAAATGTCGTTTCATTTTTTCATAGGAAACGCACTGTTTCCAATAGCTCAAGTTAATGAAACTTTGTCTGCTAGTTCTT